TTTCACTTTGGTTATTAAAATGCTGATTCGGGAAAATCGGTGCGACCGAGAAATTTGGAGCAGCTACAGCGTATGTATAAGAGTGTATATGTGAAAATACATGTCTGTGTGTATGTCATTTTTGTGTGTCTGATTATGCGTGCGTGAAAGAGTGCGTCTTCCAGTTTTCATATGTGAAGGTGTATGTATGTGAGCGTATATGTCTCTTCGTTTGAGCTTGAAATTAAACGGCAAAGAGCCGCAGTTCGCAAAATTTGTCGCTTGGCATTACGTCAAAACCATTTGTGACGGCTGGAAGTAGGTAGGAGACACAAGACATCTGAAGTCTCTAACGAGTCCTGGCGAATATCGGAGTCAGCCATCTGGTTGTTGGGTCCTGTGTGACTTTTATTTTCTGTCGTTCTCGCTTAGACAGGATGGTGATATCTTGTGATATATTAACGGCCCTAAAGGTTTTGGACGGCAAAAACTGTGAAATTTTGTCGAGATCAAGTTAGCACTAGATGTCGTAAATGTTCGGCTATTATTATAAATATTATTATTATTATTAGAAAGACCCTTGAAAATTTCACGGTTTTTCTATTTAAATAATCTGATGAATCTTAATACTTAACTTTTAAGTTAATATATTTTTCAGTTTTTGAATCTAGGTCAGCTGGTTTTAGTCGACAGTTTGTTTCACCTTGGTTCAAATATTTTTCGTTTACTCGTTTTGTGGACTTTCTACGTAGAAGTTTGTCATCTCATTTACTCTTTAGCAGATAAACCTTAGGGCTTGACCTTTGGATTTCTGTTGCATTCTTCGAGCATAGTCGGTGGCTGGCTCGTTTACCACTATTTTTATTTCTGATATATTGTGCTCTCTTTTGAATTTAAAAACTTCTTGGTGCAATTATGATGTTCTATTATTATTATTATTATTATTATTATTATTATTTATTTTCTTTGATTTCTGGCGTTTACACATTTCTGTCCGGGTCCCGCCCAGGGACCTAAGGTTAGAAATGGCGTCATGACACTTTCCACTGACAAAAAATTACATAGATAAAGCCCTTCGTAAGGTGTGGGCTGTACTTGTCAGAACAATTTTTTGTATCTCCTTGAGGCATGGACTTCCAGGAATCCCTTCAATTAGTCTACTGCAATCTTTTCCAACCAGTCCTAGGGCTCCAACTACAACAGGGATTGTTGATGTTCCCATATGCCACATTTTTGAGATTTCTATTTCAAGGTCCTTGTAATTTGACAACTTTTTGAATATCTTCAAAGATACATTGCAATCAGCAGGGACTGCCATATCAATAAGGAGGCATCGTTTTTGTTTGTGGTCTTTAATAACAATATCTGGCCGGTTGGCCTTGATAGTTCTGTCAGTGTGTATTCTGTAATCCCATAGAATTTTAACAGGTCCTATTTCCGTAACCGGGTCTGGGTGGTGTTCATGCTAGTTTCTTTCAGTTTTCTTCCCGTAGAAGTTGCAGATTTTCCAGTGCAGATATTGGCCCACTCTGTCATTATTATTATTGTTATTATTATTATTATTATTATTATTATTATTATTATTATTACGTAAATTTGCAGATAATTCCCCAGTGACCAATTTAAAAAAAATGCATTATTCCTGGTGTAAAAAGAAGCCTGGTTACTACAAAAATAGAAATAAAAAAAATGAGGAAACTCTACTGTTTATGAGATATTGACAATTTTAGTTGGGTCCCGTGTGTAGCCTGGCCTGCACTGCTTACCTGAAGCAATACGTTGCTCGATTTAAGTTCCTGAGGTCAAGCCTTCAACATACCGAGCGCTTTCACAGAATCAGGACTGAAGCAGCCATGCTGTACCCGGTACCTAACTTGGAATGGCAATATCTCCTAAACGGTAGAGTATCCTCAATTATTGCTAGTTTTGGAATAATAATGCTTTTTTACACCAAAAATAATACATTTTTTTTTAAATTGGTCACTGGGCATCATCTGCAAATTTACGTAATATTATTATTATTATTGCTGGAAAGACCCATGAAAATTTCAGTTTTCCTATTTTAATATTCTGAAGAATCTTGATTCGTCAGCTAATAATTGAGTAAGCTCATGTTGAGTTCCACGACAATAAACATTCATAGAAATGCTCTTATCTCATCGTTAAATATTTGAGCTTTACATCTTTAACAAAATATTGCAATAATAATCATAAATATGAATGTTGGTCGTTATTTTAAGAAGTGGGTACAAATGAAACGACATGACACGGCAATACAATATCTGGAGAAATTCCCTTATCGCATCGTTAAATATTTGAGCTTTACAACTTTAACAAAATATTGCAATAATAATCATAAATATGAATGTTGGTTGTTATTTTAAGAAGTGGGTACAAATGAAACGACATGACACGGCAATACAATATCTGGAGAAATTGCCCTTATCGTGTCGTTAAATATTTGAGCTTTACAACTTTAACAAAATATTACAATAATAATCAGAAATATGAATGTTGGTCGTTATTTTAAGAAGTGGGTACAAATGAAACGACATGACACGGCAATACAATATCTGGAGAAATTGCCCTTATCGCATCGTTAAATATTTGAGCTTTACAACTTTAACAAAATATTGCAATAATAATCATAAATATGAATGTTGGTCGTTATTTTAAGAAGTGGGTACAAATGAAACGACATGACACGGCAATACAATATCTGGAGAAATTGCCCTTATCGCATCGTTAAATATTTGAGCTTTACAACTTTAACAAAATATTGCAATAACAATCATAAATATGAATGTTGGTTATTATTTTGAGAAGTGGGTACAAATGAAAGATTTGAAATTGACAACTTTTTCCCCATTTTACTGAAACAGCCATTAAACGCACCTATCTCCGCTTCTTTCTTGCTTTCATTATCACTTTTATTCATTTTTTCACTAAACCTAAGTAGCGTCTCTGATATGTGTTTGAATTATCAAAGCGGAATAGTCCATTAGTTATTAGGTATTGGCAGGAGACATTAAAAATTTCTATCTCCCATTCTTTCTTGCTTTAATTTTCTCTCTTTCCACGTGATCAAAACATAATGGTCCATTATCTATGAGGTATTGACAGGACATAAACGGTCGCGCGAACTAAGGAAACAAGGGACAAGTACAACTATAATATATTAGTATTATTGTTGTTTTATCTTTCTGAAATACTACTAATATTGTTAATTTTAGTAGATCAGTCACGAATAACATGTGAAAGTTTGTTTATTTCTGCACGATGTCCTTCATTGTACAACTCAGTATGCACAATTATTTGACCTCGCCGGCGGTGCAAGTTTTAACATAATCACTTTTTTGTACTTCATAAAGAAACAGATGTTCTACATTTTTATCAGAATTACAGAAATATAATTTGTTAGAAGAATTCTCATGGTTTAGTTTCGGAGTATAATTTTCTCTATGATTTCTATTTATATCCAGAGAAGAAACATATTACTGTACTTTGAAAAAGATACTTTACAGAAAAATATTTTTAGAAAACATATTTTTCTGTAAAGTGGCTTTTTCAAAGTACAGTAAAATGTTAATGGGACATCTTAGTTCAAAGTCCAGTAAAATGTTAAGGGAACATCTTAGTTCAAAGTACAGTAAAATGTTAAGGGAACATCTTAGTTCAATGTACAGTAAAATATTAATGGAACATCTTAGTTCAATGTACATTAAATGTTAATGGAACATCTTAGTTCAAAGTACAGTAAAATATTAATGGAACATCTTAGTTCAAAGTACAGTAAAATATTAATGGAACATCTTAGTTCAAAGTACATTAAATGTTAAGGGAACATCTTAGTTCAAAGTACATTAAATGTTAATGGAACATCTTAGTTCAAAGTACAGTAAAATGTTAAAATCTTAGTTCAATTAAAAATGGAACATCTTAGTTCAAAGTACAGTAAAATATTAATGGAACATCTTAGTTCAAAGTACAGTAAAATATTAATGGAACATCTTAGTTCAAAGTACATTAAATGTTAAGGGAACATCTTAGTTCAAAGTACATTAAATGTTAATGGAACATCTTAGTTCAAAGTACAGTAAAATGTTAATGGAACATCTTAGTTCAAAGTACAGTAAAATGTTAAGGGAGCATCTTAGTTCAATGTACATTAAATGTTAAGGGAACATCTTAGTTCAAAGTACATTAAATGTTAATGGAACATCTTAGTTCAAAGTACAGTAAAATGTTAATGGAACATCTTAGTTCAAAGTACAGTAAAATGTTAACGGAACATCTTAGTTCAAAGTACCGTAAAATGTTAATAGGACATATTAGCTCAAAGTACAGTAAAATATTAATGGAACATCTGAGTTGAAAATTTAACAGGAAGAAATGAAATCTATTTTTTTTCTTTTATGCTACTAATTGCTATTGCGCTGTTACTGTACATGACCGATGTAGCTGAGAATAGATCATGACGTGTGTGAATACTGACAACAACAAACATACTGTAAACTAGATATATTTTTAGTTGACCATTTCATTCTTTCAAATTTGAATTAGAATTATACGTTTTTATTTTCAGGGCTTATATTCAAATCACAATGCAAAACACCGGTTCTCGTTAGATCGTCGAAGTTAAGTACTATCGTATCCGGTCAGTACTCAAAAGGGGACTGTTTTATAACACCTGGTATCGTAACCAACCTTCTGTAATCTGTAATATATTTCGCAAGTATAGGATTGTTTTTTGTTTTTGGCTCATCAGCCTTTTGCTGGTTATTTAAAGCCAGAAAATGTTCTTAGATTACGACATTTTTTTTTTTTAATGGGGGAAGATAATAACTTTTTACCCATACAGGTTTACTAACTAACGCATAGCCGGGAGGATAACGTAGATCCATATCTTTCCGAAGGATATATGAACGTAAGTAAATTTAACGGAGCCGACTGGGATTGAAACTCGACCCTGCAAATTCCAATTCCGAGCTGTTAAAATTTACACCACCCATACAGGCAAGCTTACAACACCTGGTATTCCCAAACAGTCACCAATCTAGGCACTGACCAGACTCGGCGTTGCTTAACTTCTGTGATCGTACGAGAACTGGTGTTGCAACTTGAGCCAAATATTCTTCGGAATTAAATAACCCACAGTGGGTCGGTAAGTCGTAAAAGAATAATCATTTTTTCAGGAATAATGTATCCAACAATATACTGTAGCATGTCTTTGAGAGTCTCAAAAGTTCCCCTTTACATTACGTAGGATTCGTTAAACTATCATTACACCCAAGTGGGTTCTATGTTTTGACTTCTACCCTGAATAGATGCGTACTACCTTGAATATATATATATATATATATATATATATATATATATATATATATATATATATATATATATATATATATATATATATATATATATGAAAAAATAGGAAAGAACCATTAGGTTAATAATCCGAAGTTCTTTACTAGTTTTGTTTTTTATTCCCTTATTAAAATTATTAAAATAATTGGTTTTCTCCATATCCATAGAAACTAATATTACGAATGTATATGCTTATAAAGCTCCGTAAATTTCAAAATTAGTTATTCCAAATTCGCTTGAGGATGAAACACAGCTCGGTGCTTTAATTTAATTTCTATAATTGAATTGGAAGATTTTAGCCTCTATTTTTGAAAAACATAGGAAATCTTATGTAGCGATGGAATCATATTTTAAAAAAAGAATTATGATATATATATATATATATATATATATATATATATATATATATATATATATATATATATATATATATATATATATATGGCGCTGCACTCTTCTGTGCAATGGTAGTACAGGAGACGTATAACTCCGTGATAATGAAACCAGAGGGGTTTGCTCATTGTGTCCGTGGCAAATATTTGCACCATTTCCTTGTTATCAGCACTTCCAATAAGTGTGGCTGGTTCTACACAAGCCTTCACAACTCTAAACAAATCTTTTGTGTGGATAGTCTGCAGTTCAGTTCTGTGTCCCTTCTTTGGTATTCAACTTGAGGAATAAGAATTAAAGCGACGGGGGCAGGTACAGGATTAAAAACTGAAATGAAAGACAATCATACGTCGAAAACGACGGGAGAGTCCATCTTATATATATATATATATATATATATATATATATGTGTGTGTGTGTGTGTGTGTGTGTGTGTGTGTGTGTGTGTGTGTGTGTATTAATTTAAAGAAAAAACAGACCACTTTAAGGTTCCATTAGTTATAATTTATTTCACCAGACATTTTTTTCTGGATCTTCAGACTTCACTTTCAAAGGTGAAACGAAAAATGAATTTAATATATATATATATATATATATGTGTGTGTGTGTGTGTGTGTGTGTGTGTGTGTGTGTGTGTGTGGTTCAATAAATCCAGAGTACCTGTTCTATAGCTCTTTGTAAAGATAAATCATTTTTTGATAAAGCACACCTATTTTATTTCAGATATATCTTTCCGCGACTTCCTTCACCTCTCTTCTGTTGTAGCCATCTGTTAGTCTGGGGATCTAGCAAGTCCCTGTTTCAGACGTCTCCTCAGTCACATTTATGCTTCGACAACAACCACAGAGCTAACCTGTGGCCTATACTGCAACTATGCTGAACGGACCTAAATTAGAGTTTCTGGGAGAGATCACATAATTTGGCGTAATCATTAATGGAACTAGGCCAGTACTTTCAAACCCTCGGTCACGATGACTTGTGAATTCGTGCTTGAAAAAAAAACCATCAACGCTTCCCAAACAGTTTGTCTGCCCAAATTCACACGCCAGACTTAGATCAATCGGTGGTATACTTTTCATTCACGTCGCAAGTTTGCCCTGTGCTGGAATCGTTTTTCCTGGTCAATATCCTTCGACCCACCCCACTGACAAATCGACCATAGTGATGTGAGAACGTAAACGTATTAAACAGACGGTTACCTTCCTTTGCATATGCATTTATCTGTAAGAATGTAAGATAGCCTTTCTAATATCAATAAAAGACGTATATGTATATACGGAAATTAAAATACGGAACTCGTTGGTATGTTGGTATTTCTTGATAAGCAACATATATATATATATATATATATATATATATATATATATATATATATATTGAATTCTTAAATCAGACGTAAACGTTTACACATGCACGTATACATACACGCGTACGAAATGCACACGAACATATGTTTATGTGTATTGTGTATTTTATGTGGTGTATGTGAACTTATTTCAGGCATCCGAAATTTATCTTATCTCAACTGACCCGCATATATGGAACATAGAGTGATGAAAAGGTTTTTTTTTTTTGGGTTTTTTTTATCCTGGACGTATATGAACGAAATGCACGAAAAGAAGGTCGCTTAGTCTGAAAAGAAAACGCCATTCACCTACTTTCCAAATTGACACCATGAATTCTAGAATTCGATTCGAAGATTTTATTCCACTGTTCTCGTATCGAATTTTCTTTTCGCTGCCAAGGATCACAGGCGTGTCCGAAAATTACGATCTTTAGCATTTTTCTCAGCCTTCTATTTCATTTAATGGCCTAATATTATACAATAATTGTTAATATTATTATTATTATTATTATATTTCCTTTGATTTCTGGTGTGTACGCATTTCTTACCGGGTTCCGCCCAGAGACCTAAGGTTAGAAATGACATTTCCACTGAACAATTAAAAACACGTATTTTACATAGATAAAGCCCTTCGTAACATGTGGGCTGTACTCGTGAAAACAACTTTTTTGTATTTCTTTAAGAAAAGGTTCTCAGGAATCCCTTCAATTAGTCTACTGGAATCTTTTCCAACTAATCCGATTTGGGTTCTGTCGCTGGATCTAACCAATGCCTTTATCCACTGAGCCATGTGTCCTAAGAGTGTGAGTTCAATACACGGTTAAGGCAGTGGAGAGCTTTCAGAGGGGAATTAACAGGAGATAACTGATAACTGACATGCATTAGACATGTCACGTGGAACAGTCTACCCCAGTGAGCGAAATAAAGAGTTCAGTTCGACTTCCAACCACCTGAAGAAGGCCGGATCGTACAACGGCCGAAACGTTGTAATAAATATGGTGACAAAGATGAGGACAATAGTCCTAATAACGTAAATAGTGTATATCAATTTCTATGCGTTATTTAATGCCGAAACTTGAATATTATTCGTGCTTTTTTTGTGGTTTTAATGGTTTTAGTGATATGGGTCTTACTAATTAACCTAATTAGCTAGATTGATACCTTTTCCCAACAGTATTTGTGTGTAAGTGAATATAACGAACCCAACCGGAATTGGAACTCCGATTAGCGATTCCATGCCGTTACCCATTACACCACTCGTACATCCAAGTATACAGCACCTGGCGTTCCAAAACTGTCACCCATCTAGTTTCGACGTTGCTTAACTTCGGTGATCGTACCGGAATCAGTATATCAACGTGATGTGACCTTATGCCTAATTTACCAAGAGATACCGATATTTCGTGGTTGGTGCAACAATTATCGGCGTAGAAAATGGAACCGGCTTTCCGGGTTCAATATCCGTCCAAATCTGTTACGTTCACTTCTCGTAATTCTTTTTCTTCTATCCTCGGCTATGTGTTAAATAGCAGGATAGACTATAATCTCTAGCTTTGAGTCGAGGCTTGTCTAGAAAGAGAACAAATTTGAACTCAGAAGTAAAGAGAAGACAACGGGCCGTCGGGGTTAAAACTATAAACTACATCCACGTCCGTGTGTAAGACGATAAACACCGTCCAACAACAAGGTCTCTGATCAGGTGGTTTTGAGGAGCGTGGAACCACCTCTTAATTGCTGGTGTTCCCAGATTCACCCAGACCCAGGGTGGTAGCACTTGGTAAGGTCCCATCTATGGGCAAATATGTAACCCCCAAACACAGGTCAAAACACTATGAAATTGTAAAAATAGGTTTTAATACCAGCAATACGTTTTTTGTAAAATAATTACGAGGAATAGATTTTTAAAGAAAAATTATTAGCAGCAATAAATATTTGAGGAAAAATATTACGAGCAATACATTTTGGGAAGAAAAAAATTACCAGCAATAAAAGTCTTTTAGGCATTAAATAACCCATTGAAGCTGATATGCCATACAACAAACCAAACCAAATTCGATATATCTAACTTCAGTTATTTCAATCTAATAAGACACTAAATGAAACCAAATTTCTTCTCGACTTTTAAATACTAAAACAACCAAAAAGTAAAAGCAATATTTATCGCTGTGGAGCCTTTAGGTTGATTTGCCGTAAAACAAACCAAACCAAACCGAAGACAACAGGAAACCACTGGCGGTACATTAACCCGGGAACTGCGGTATTTTATAGACAAGTAAGAAATCAGTAGATAACTATCATAACTTATTAATCGCCCATAATACTATTAAGATTATATTATTAAAGGCAATGTGCAATGCGTGGTACTAATTGAGAATCAGGCTCTGGGTCTTATTTTTCTAAGCAAAATGGCGCGGAGAAGAAATTTGTTTCTTATGGCAAAGAATTCTGTATATTTCAGTGCGTTTTCCAAAGACGGACATATTCTGGCACTCGTCCCTTGCACCAATCAAGAAAACATTTGACAGTCCGAAAATATTTAGTGCTTTTTTTTCCCCAAAAAAAATTCTGGGTCAGTTTCCATGAGCTGTCGTTCCAATATATCTATAACTTTAAAACCGTAATAAGTGTCTAGTGGGATGGGATACGAATATGGGTCACAGCTGGTGTTAATGTAGGGGGTTCTATCGTGTCATAAATTTTATTATTCGGATTATCATGTAAATTAAAGATATCGTTTTATCACGATAATTACTGACCGACTTTGCGTTTAACATAACATTTCAGCTACTGACAACTTCTGTAATTTCATTGGCTCTGCTTTCTCTCTCTCTCTCTCTCTCTCTCTTTCCTTTTCTTTCGCGATGACCCAATCCTTTTCTAAAATAAGGTTGCCATATTGGTTAGATGTATTGAACTGAACTTTATTTGAAAGTCACAACTAATTTACCATTAAATGTTGCAAAATTACGAAATACAAAATTTAGTTTCGCATAGTCTAACTCTGTTCCAAAGC